GCGCGAGGAGTGGGGGGTAATTGATGAAGGAAGATTTGGCCTGAACTCGTAACCACTCAACATGTGGCAAAGGCAACAGCTCGGTACTTCACCTCGCACACCACTCTAGCACTTCGCCTCCAGGACGCCGAACTGAACAACCGTACCGTACCTGACACCGAAGGAGTCCGTATCCAGGGACGGCGCACCTGACTTACTTGGGATCTGACGCTTGACAGCCGCTCTTCAACGACCACCTGCCACTGTCATCTCCAGTTACAGAGATGGCTTCGACAAAGAGAGCAGTGGCGGTTCTGCCCCAGCAGAGGTGATGACACCCGAACTGGCAGGAGCGCAGAGGTAATCATACCCGATCTGACAGAAGTTTAGGAGTGAGTGCACGAAGTAGTTATAAAAGGCTCTCTACCCCCCAAGAACAAGGTATGTGAACTTTGTGCCATCTGGTTTTATCTTGCCTTTGAGAGAATACTAACTTGAGCTTCGGAGCAATCTCATCGGTTCCTCCCCGAAGATTCGTTACTTTCTTCTCCGTTTCAGGCACTTGTTGCTCCAGTTAGAGGCAAGATCATTGACAGTTATGACCGAACAGATTGCCCACCATCAATATGTAAGAATTGGAATCAATACAGGGGTTTATTGGGTTGCCAAATTGGCGGACCGGGTTCAAAGCAGTATATGGGGTTTTGTCTTTTAGAAATGTAAGAGGAGGTTGTAGATTTTAGATTACCTTCTTTTCAAGGGAAATTATTGGTAATTCTAGCCAAATTGAGTGAACAGTACGTAGTCAATAGGATAACATGATACTACACATACACACAATATCATATATATGAATGATATGACAGGCAAAACACAGTCTGCTGTCTGTTTGCTATAATTCTGAACATGGACAAGATTTGTTCACATTCCACTCCCCACTTTTATCTCTGGATCGGATAAGTAGAAGGACATGACAGACAGACACATCCTCTCTTTAATTACCAGTGTTGACCATTTACTTTTTCATTCAATTTGGTTTTTTAATGCAGATCAGGAGACCACCTACAGTTGTACTAGCAAAAGTGCATGAAAGTTCAGTAGGGTTAGAGGAGATAAACATAAACTGGGCCTAGTGCTAGTGGTGCATCAAACGGTACATATGACTCTCCACAATGACAAATATTACAGATGTGAGAGATTTGGTGTATGATGCACATCACATGCATACATTTTTCTCTACCCACCCAGTACCCAGTAGACCAGTGCTAGAAGAAAAGGGGAAAAGAATTGTGATCGCCTGATGGATGGGAGCCTTATTTGTTGAATGGCCCTGGCCTCCGGATTGCGTTGCGTAATTCTCGTTCCAAAATTCCCAAAAAAAAAAAGGTTTCGTACTCTCGTCCGAATTAACAAACCCAGTGATGTGATGGAAATGGGGCCCAGAGCCCTGTCTAACAGAGCAACAGCCCTACTTGTTGACTAGCCATCCCTCGAGTCGCGAGTTTCTTGTTCTTTCAATTTTTTGTAAGACCAGAAAGAAAAAGCATTTAGCCATTGGTATCTGTTGCTGGTGCAAGAATGGTGAATTTTGATTTTTTTTTGGTAAATTAGGGACACCTGTGCTGTGCTTAGCAATAATACCAAATAATACAGGGGTGTTTCTTTTCTGGATTTTGAGAAGGGAAAGTTAATCAATGGAAATTTGATTTTTATTGATTAAAAAATTTATTTATTTTTTTCAGATTTAAGTGGGAATAAAGAAAAATTTACTTCTTAATTTGGAAGAAAGTTGTCAATATTTAAATGGGACAAAAATGTCTCTTGTAATAATATTAAAATATAAAAATTTTCTCTAAATTTTTTAACAATCATAAAAACCTCTCTCCTATAGTTTTATTTTAACAAAAACCTCCCTTCCGTCGAAAAACGTTAAGGAGATAACATTTTTTTTCAAAATACTTATTTTACCCTTTTATGAATTAATGTACATCTATTTTTATATTTTACCCAAAAAAATGCGGGGTTTTCTTTTCTTTTTCTTCTCTCCACTCGGACCTCTCCCTCCCTCTCTCTCTCTACTCTACGTCTACGGTCTGCCTATGTCGAAAGAAGCAAAAGTCCATCAACATTCATCAGCGCCCATCCTCTGTCATATCCAGCCGTCCATTCTCTTGAAGCACCGAATTTGGGCCCCTTCCTCTTCGCCTTTGCCCCGCACTCTCCCTGCATCACTAGCACCACTGCTCAACCAACCTCCTCCGGCGGAGCCACCCCTCCAAAAATCACTTCCCATGCTCTTTCCCTCTTCCCGCCATCTTTGTAACCATCTCTACAACTGCTCCCGTCTCTGTGCCGATCTCGTTACCATCTCGTTACATCTCTGTCGCCAATCCTTCTAGCTTCGCCACTGTCTTCACCACCTCTGCAACTACTCCTGCTCTGCCGTCGATCCTTCTAGCTCTGCCACTGTCTTCACCCACCACCTTTGCAACTATTCCCGCCTCTAACGCCGATCTCGTTATCATCTCTGCCGCCGATCCTTCTAGCTCCGCCACTGTAACTGCTCTGCCTCCACGACCACGTTGACATTGCATTCTGCCACGCATAATTCTAGCAGAACTTTTGTTGTAGGCTTGGCACCTGCCGGATCTTTCATAAATCCTACCACCCCACTCGTTACCGACAGCGGGTAGATGAGGTCTCGGCTTCCATCAGTCGGCAGATTCGGCACAAGAGAACGTTCAGGTGAAGAACTGAAAGCCAAGCACTTTTAAAGCTGGCACAAGAGAACGTTCAAACAGAGAACCAAGGACTACAGATCCGCTGAAGCTCTTCATCATCTCCATCTCTGAAAAACCAAACAGAGAGAGAACAGACGAAGAAAAACCCAATGAGGGAGGAAACTCTGGTTTGACGAGAAGGTTCTGCAAAGGTTTTAAAGAGGAAGGGATGACATTTTCTGCTACTTTTCTGTGAGAACCTACAGATTTCTCGAGCGAATTATGGAGTGCACCGCTATTCTGCCACTGGGTGTCGTAAGGAAGAAGATCTGCGACAGTGCTATTTTAGTAAAAACAGATAGACATTAATCTCTTTAACGTTTTTTGTCTTGATCGTTGATGGAAGGGAGGTATTTATTAATTTTTTAAAAAATAAAGAGAGGTTTTTGCTAAAATGAGAATATAGGAGAGGTTTTTATAATTATCAGAAAATTTAAGAGACGTTTTTGTATTTTACATGATTAAAATGATCGTTATCTTATTTACATAAAAAATAAAAAATGAATAAATACGATTATTCGGATAAATGCATTCACCCAGGTAAATAGCTTCCCAAAACAAGGCCTTACACGATTATCCAAACGATCTCACCACACATCTGAGATACTGATACAAGGCCGGTTACGGTGGGTCTGAGTCTCATTGTGAGATATACGGTGTCAGATCTCGTTGGCATTGTATTAGTAGACCGTATTTTATTGGAATGAGATCCCAATTTGACTTTCCCTTCTTCCCCTAACTTCAAGATTATCATCCCTCGGAAAAATTTATAGAATATTCCTTTAAACGTTTCTATTTTCGAAAACCCCAATCTTCCCTTAATTCCCTTATTTATGATTATGAAGTAAGAACCATTGAGCCCGTTTTGAGTCATTGACAGCATCTTGAGCCATTAACATGCACGGCGGTATCAACCCTTGTCTTTAGGAAACGAAGAAAAAGAGAAAAAATAAAAAGCAAACGGACAAAAAGTGGTAGGTAACGGACTCGGAAATGCTAAAATGTGGAAGTTATGCTGCAGGATTTAATAATGATTCACGCGGTCACGCCCCCTTTAAATTTCTAAATCGGTACCTTGCAAGCCCCAAAGTATAAAAGAGTACATTCAGTCGAAGCTAAGAGTGTTTTCAAGTTGAGTTTTTGTCCATCAGCAGCTGATTCAGAATTTCAGATTATACATCTCTTCAATTGCAATTTGCAAGTGACCATCTAACCCCCAGTCCAACCTGTGATGTTCTATAACAGAAATAGGCACCGATCTTATCGCATTAGGATTTACAATTTATCAAAGRGGGTAGACTATAAAGAGTATAGAGGCTTTCATACCTTTAATGTATTTTTTTAAGGCCTTATCTTTATGTACGAGTATGCAAAATGTCAATAAGCGAAATATATAAAAAATATTTGATTTAAGATTGCTAGAGAACTAGTAAATTCCTTTCCCCTTTTCGCTCATTTGAGTAGTAAATATTTGTTTTTGGTTTGCCGCTCTCATTTGAGAAATACAACATGAAAACCCAAAGGAACAGAACGTCGTAAAAATACAGTAACTAAAAAAAAAATAAAAGCAAAACCCAAAGCAAATAATAAGAAGAGGACAATGCCTCATCTTCTGCATCACTAGCTACTATTATAAGATACTAATTAGCATACAGAGTACAGAGTAGAAGAGCAAATAGGCAGTGAAGGCATGTATGCCCCTCACTCTCAGGCTCAGTCTCAGTCTCAGTCTCAGTCTCAGAGTATAGAGTGTAGAGTGTAGCTCCAAAAGTACAAGATTATGGGCATTTGGGTCCTCCACGCTTGGTCTTCCAGTTGTTGTAGCAAGGGCACACACCTTTGTTGCCATAGAAACCCGGAGGCACGCACAGGCATTTTCTGCAGCACTTCTGACAGAAGAACATGCATGGCTTATGGTACTGGGTCTTGCTGCATCTTCTCGTGCATTGCGAAGGGCATTCTAGTCATCACAAATCCAACACAAAATGATCAATCATCGGAGATGAAGTGGGCCTTGGGCTGTTTTGGAACCTGCTATGCTATCAATCACATCTCATAATGAACAATGACATCTTAGTATTTACACTCGATATTTTTTACTTTGTCCCAAAGATAAATGATGAACTGAATTAGCCAAGGAATCATGTATAAAGTCTCCCAAACCAATATTTTTACACTCGTTATAAAGTCTCCCAAACCCAGTGCAAACAGCGAAAGTGAAGTGATCTCCGGATCTCCCCCCTTCTCAGCTGCATCACATCAGTCAAACTAGTTTGACTGATTGCGTCTCCATTCTCCAGGCAACATGCCGCATTTTGTGCATCAGTTTGCGGAAGCGAAGTGCGCCAAACACATGCTTGTTGTCTCCACCCGCCATCGCCCCACCCCCACCCCATAACCACAAGACAACATACGAATATCTCATTGTGCATTGTTCTCCCTTCCCTTTGTTTCTTTTTTTTTTTAATTTTTAAAGATTTTTATTCGAAACATATGTATCAAAAGTGTTTTTTCTTTAACAAAAACTTCAAAGAAGATGAACTTCAGAAGGTTGAGGAGTGGACTACTTACGATAGGACTTCAGACTTCCCGGTCCATATCGGTTCTGGAAACACACAAAACATTAATGCTGTTTGTTTAGTCTAACAATTCAACTTCATCAAAGCAATTAAACTCTGATAAAGAAACTAATTATAGAAAACTATGATAACTTTGAAAGGGAACGTGAAAAGGGAAAAAAATAGAAAAAAGGGAAAAGGGTAAAATGGCTTATACACTATCCAAGTGGTACTCTGCTTCTTTGGCCAAAACCTGCATCAAACCAAAAGGCAGAAAATGGGAGATGAAGATCTATTTACGAATCTTTTCTGATAAATGATAATGAGCTTTAACGAGCTAATGTATACAGTGCATGATGTTGGATGGAGATAACGGGGCAAGACCAAGGATATTGGCACCTTGTAACAAGTTCATCAAGTTATTATATTGAGGGAGAGAGAGAGAGAGAGAGAGAGAGAGAGAGAGAGAGAGAGAGTACATTGAAAACAAAAACACTCACCATTGTTGCTTCAATCATGGAAATGGCAAAGAGTGCCAGGAGCATCAGAGCCACAACCTTAGCCATAGCCGTTATGCCACCAAATGACCAAATAAGCAGAGCAGACAGAAAGGAAACCCCTTTCCTCTTATTAAAGGAGAAAGACGATCGATGATGGAGAAGGGAAGAGGAAGGAAGAAAAAGCAAGGGAAGGGGGCTTGAGTTCAGGGTTCCTGGCTACCTGAGTAATAAATAGATGTGTTTGGGCCTCCCTTGGGCAGTGGGCTAGCGCCTAGCGGGATGGATATCATATTGAGTGATAAGAATAAACGGTTGATTTAAGCTGTCTAGCATTCATCCCATATTACCCATCCTCTTTTAGGAAATCACATGTAACTCCCCCTTTTACTTTTATAATTCATTCTCATTTTGAAGTTGAACGTTATCATTACCATTTCCCTGGTAGGCTCGTACATTAATAATAAATATTGCAACAGTACTTTAAACTTTTTAATTTGGTGTACAAAATTCAACACGATGTCAGATTGTAACGTACTATCATCATATTATTATATCATCAGGATCAGGTATCGTATCCTCCTGCATGGTTCATGGTTCAGCGTTTAGATTCGGGTCCGTATGTCCGCAATTTGAAATCGGTTTAAGGGTTAACTACATGGATCCAAAACAAATACAAATTATCCGAGCTGCGGGTTAACTACATGGATCCAAAACAAATACAAATTATTCAAGTTGCGTGTATTTCTGAAATAAAAGGCCATAACTAAGATGAGGCTATCCAAGCCCAAAGTCAGGGCATAAAATACGGGCATAGGCTGGCCCAATTTTTTTTTTTTTTTTGGGGAATTGGTGGATGAGGAGGCCAAGTTACTCCAATGAAGACATGTGCACTGCAGTCAATGTTTGTGCAATAGCCGGTCCCAATGTACTCGAGTATGTCATATGTGGGGTCCCTCTCCTCTAACAACGGAAAACAGAGAGAGAGGAGAAGCATGTAGGGGCCAATCTTGTTCTCACCTACCCGGCGACCCGGTAGAGGCGTAGAGCAATGTCACAAAAATCACAATGGGTGTGGGCCAAACATCCAAATTGCAATTATGGTTGGTCTGGCCGGCCTGGATTCGGGTTGTTTCAACGGATCGATGCTAGAGCTAGGTAGCGAGGCACTTAAGTGGGACCGATTGTGACGGGCACCGGCCGGGCGCGCCAGGCTTAACTGCCGCACTTGATAATGGGTACAGCAATTAATAAAATACGGAGAGACAAAAGGAAAGCAGCAGATGGTGAGTGTGTTAGTGCGCGCGCGCGTTTCATGTCATCCGCAAGAGGCTGAGGTTGAAATGAATACATAGAAACGGAAACTTGGCATATATCTTGTTCTGTATAGAGACTAGAGTGCCAACTGCCAAAGCCAAATGGCAAGGGAAGGATGAAAGGGGAGTTCACTTTCGCTCATTCAAGAACGGACGAAAGAATCCGCCGCAAGATTTTTATTGGGCCAGTTCGATTTATTAATCCACGTCAGAGCTGCTTGTCCCAACGTTTAAATGAGACATTATAACGACGTCAGATTTAATTTGAACAATTCCAACTATTTTCAACTTTTACGGCTTGCATCTATTAGGGTTTGAATTTTTTTTTCAAAATAAAAAAACAAAGAGAAGAGGGAGACCGACCTTACTCCTCCTAATCACCATAGCAAAGCACATGAAAAGCACAATCATTTTCGTAATACGAACTGGTTTCTGTTACGCCAACATCTCCTTTGTCTCACCATTGCATAGAACAAGAAAGGAAGCACAACCATTTCCGTAATACGAACTGGTTAGCTTTTATTTTTGTTTTATTTTTCTATTGTCTATTTTTTCATTCTGATTTCTGTTACGCCAACAACTCTGTCTCACCATTCTGAAAACTATGTAATATCAAGCAAAAAAAAAAAGATGAAATATAGTTTCAGTTCTAATTCGTTAACAACTCCCTACATGTGAAAGAAACACATTAACTTAAGGTTAACAAGCCAAATATTACTCGTCTTTTTCTTTATATATTGGTGAGATACGAACAAATAGTTTCATGCATTAAAAACAAAGTTGTTTTCTGTAAGTTATAGATGAAATTATCGGCAGACGAATAATTCATTGTTAAAGATTAATCCTAGTCATTGATGAATTTATCGGCAGAACAAAGAAGATTTTTTGTTTAAAGGCTTAAAGCTAACTTGTTCTAATAATAGAAACAAAGGGGTTATTGGCGGAAATGAAAAGATTTATTGGCGTAACAGAAACCAGAATGAAAAACAAAAAAATAGACAATAAAAAATAAAAGCTAAGCGGTTCGTATTATGGAAATGATTGTGCTTTTCATGTGCTCTGCAATGGTGATGGGGAGGAGTAAGTTTGGCGTCCCTCTTCTCTTTGCTTTTTGTTTTTTGGAAAAAAACTCAAACCCAATCGTTTCTGGTTTAAACGCATTGGGACAAGCAATTCTGACGTGGATTAATAGATCCAGCTGGCCCAATAAAAATCTTGGGACGGATGATTTCGTCCGTCGTTGAATGAGCGAAAGTGAAGTAATGAAAGGGAGAATTAAATGAGGAAAGATGCCATATTCCCATATATATATGGGCTGTTTTGATTTTGGCCTTTTGGCATGCATGTGCAGATCTGTCCCTAGGTATAAGCACACTTTATACTGAACAATACATTATACATGTGATGTGAGGCGAGATTGTCTCACCTCACAGACCGCGCTTCCGCTCTCCCCATGAACAGAAATTTACAAGCATAGACATGTTTCCGATGCACGGCTAAACGTGCTGTGAAGCGCGCGCTCTGTGACTGTGACTGTGAGAGCAGATCCCAACTCATGTGAGGTTGCTTCTTCAATTCCCCTGCAGCGACAAAAGTGAGTGCGATATATTGCGTCGGTCCTTAATTCATGTCATCATCTAAAATCTAAACAACTACCATTTATCCCTCCTTAACTTCATCTCCCCACTACGAGTTAAGTCGTTAAACCCAAACAAACATCAACGCTTCAAGTTGGTTGTTGAAGTTGCAGGGTGAGAGAGAGAGTTATTGATGATTGCTGCCTACCCTACCCGGGCCACAACCGATTTATTTATTGACAATCCAATCCCAACCTCAGGCTCCCAGAAATCGGACCTGACTTGATGTGCATGCATTCTCTCTATCCATTTTTCATACGTATTAAATTTCTCTTCACAGAGATCCACGCATTTTCTATAAGGTTCTAGTCTACATTTCAACTTCAGGCAGGTCGCAGGTCCCTATAGGACTTGCCACATTTCCTATGTTTACACTTCAAAGGACTGATGAATCAAAACAAAGTAATTACAAAGTTTTTGGTAAGGCTCCGTGGGGTAAACATGCAAATAAAGTGTGAGTGCAAATATGTAGAGTGTAATACGGTTCATGTAAATGTAAAATTGGGTTAATTTTACATTGACAAATTTACCTTTTTATCAAATACTTTTAGCTGTAATGGATGCAAACATGAATACGGAGAAGTACAAACAGGTTCAATGCAGATTTCTGATAACATTCAAAATGTTAAAACCCCCACTCTATACACCAATGCCTGTCCATGTATTGTCATCAATTCCGAGCTAGCACCCACTCCAATTGTACTTTGGGCCTAAAAATTCTGACCCTGGGCTGAACCGTTATTCTCCCTAAAATATATGCCTTTTTTAACAAAAGCCTACATTGAATGCAAATTTACTTCTTTTTTTTTACAGATATACATTTACATCTCATTTTAAATGTAAATATCCATCAGAAAATATGTTTTCTGTCATTTGTAAATGCATAATTGTATTCTTGCCAAACACTGGCAAAACTGAATCACAATACATATTTACCCAAACCAGGGCTTACACTCCATTTGCATCGTTCCCAAATAGAGCCTAATGGGAGTATTCACATTTTTCAGTTGGGTACTGTCTAAAGAGACTCATATCGGCAAATTCCTTAAATTACTCTTATGGTTTAGGTAATTGACTAATTCACCCTCACCATTAATTTTTCGTTGTCTAAAGAGACTCATATCTGCAAATTTCTTAAATTACTCTTATGGTTTAGGTAATTGACTAATTCACCCTCGCCATTAACTTTCCGTTGTCTGAAGTGATTCATCCGCAAATTCTTAAATTACTCTTATGGTTTACAACAAAAACTTAAGTTTTCTGATAATTGTCTAAAACCTCCTTTATCTTTAACTTTCCTTTGCATTCCATTCACATGTGATATCACGTGATTAATATATTTTTTAAAATGCCTAAAATACCCTTCTCTTGTCATCTTCTCAAGACCTTTTTTTAATCCCAATTTCTTTAAGAGCTCGAGGTACAGATTTCTCAACTGTAGCACCGTCACCGATGCAACCCCGGTGAATATCTTGCCTTCTGAAGCTCAACGGTGTAACACCTACAAACTAGAGGCAATGAAACAAATTTCTATACACTCCCGATCATACGTTATCCCTGTCGAGACCGTCACCAGTGTAACACCCGCAAAAAGACTTCAGAATGTCCAAAATCTGTCTGATCTGACCCAAATTTAAGAGAAAAAACATTGAGGATTTGATTGAAGGTTAGGGATGATATAGTTGGAGCTTGGAAGCTGAATGTTTGTTTTGATTTTTGAATTCGTTTGGGAAAGGGAGAACGTGAGGTTTTATATGAGAAGAGAACCTAGAATATTGCCCCTCCCTTTTTCTCTCCATTCCAAATGGAGGACAGTCATCGATCTAATAAAAAAACCACTTATCAGAAAAGGACCTCGAAGATAACCACATTTCCTCTCCCAAAACGTTCCCCAAGTCCTCTCCACGGTCGAAAACTTCTTGCAGAACCATGGGTTCTATTAAGATGCAAGATGCATATACCGGTATTGCATTTGATCGAAACCTTGTAGATATGATCATTAGCATGTCTAAGAACATCCAATTGGATTTTTCTATCAAGAAGGAACCGGATCCCCTAGGAACAAATCCGAACACCTCTTAATTAGTTGATAACACCTACTGCAATAAAGAAGGAACGCTGACTTCTTTCTTTATTAATCCGATCCCAATTCCTTAACAATTAATAAAATTTTCTTTAGGTTAAATATCTTAAAATACCCCTATTGTTCACGAAATTGACAAGCGATAATTGACATTATCGTGTTAAGTGCTAACGAAAGGAAATGAAATATCAAATTTGTCCTCTACTATTCCTCAAATTTCATCCCCTCTTCTTCTTCTTCT